AATTCTATTCTATTTCAAGGACATCCTGAGTAATTGTGACTCAGGTTGGGGCTGTGGTCAATGCTTACCCTGCAACAAAACTGTATCATACTATTATGTAATACTGATTTCCTCTGCTCTAGAGTTGCATCTAGACCAGTTAGTTCAGCCTTTAAGAAATAAGTTCTGGGGCGCCTGGGTGGCTCAGTCGTCTGGCATCTGCCTTCGGCTCAGGTCCTGATCCCAGGGTCCTGGGATACAGCCCCACATCCGGCTCCCTGCTCAGCGGGGGGCCTGCTTCTCCCTCTCCCACTCCCCCTGCTTGTGTTCCCTCTCTCACTGTGTCTCTCTCTGTCAAATAAATAAATAAATCTTTAAAAAAAATTAAGTTCTAACAAATGATTTCCAAATACCACACAATTCTATGTACACAGAGAGAACACACCATCCTAAGAAAACCTTCAGACATTTTCAGCCAAGACCCAGCTCAAATTAAGAAAATCTTTGTATATATGATACATACTTGGGTGGCCAATCCACAGACATAGTTGGTAACTCCTCACTTCAGTTTCATAAGCTGCTCTTAAAAGGGTGAAGAGGGGAGGGAGAATCCCTCCATGCAAATTAGATTGATATAATTAAAATGTGCTTTTTGAAAAACCATACCAGTTTTAATTATTATTCATTGTTTCTCTGTAAACTAGTCTTGAGCTAACCAAAAGTAAAAATGACATCTATTTATATTTGATAAATTGGAAGTTCTACTTAAATTTTTTTTTTGGGGGGGAGATGGTTAAAATCACTTCAGTCCTTTGGAAGAAAAACTGAAAAATTTCTGGAGCAACTCTAGGTATACAAATTTGTACAATATTATTAGTTTTGCAATAAAATGAGTTCTTCTATATTTAGAACTTGAAGATTTTTCTAGTACCTCAAGGTCTTAATATGAATCTCATCTCTTCAATGATCAGTATAACCCTACTTGATTTTAAGAGCTAGCCCAAGTCCACTTGACATTTAAATTAATGCAACAAACTTACTTTACTCAATTACTGTCCTCATATTCTGTAGGTCCCTACTCTCAACTCCCCCACCCCCAAGTTGGAGGAGGTTATATCAACTCCTGCCTGCATAACCATGTCTTTGAAAGTTCACAATCACTTTCACTCAAGTAAGCATTGGGCAAATTGAGTTTCAAATGATTCTAAAAATTTGTAGATCTTAGTTTGGTCTGTGAAGCTCAAACTCAGTAACTGATGGAACAAAAATGTGGGCAGAATTTTTTTTCCTTGAAAAGCCAAACCAAAAGCCCCAACAATCTCGAGTTATACAAAAGTGTAAAACTTAAAATTTTCTTTGGTATTTAAAGAACACGAAAACACTAATCCAAAGGGATATATGCACCCCTATGTTTACTGCAGCATTATTTACAAGAGTCAAACTATGGAAGCAGCGCAAGTATCCATCCATAGATGAATGGATAAAGAAGATGTGGCATGTACACACACACACACACACACACACACACAACGGGATATTACTCAGCCATAAAAAAGAATGAAATCCTGCCATTTGCAACAACATGGATGGATCTAGAGAGTATAATGCTAAGCAGAATATACCAGAGAAAGACAAATACCACATGCTTTCACTCATATGTGAAATTTAAGAAACAAATGAACAAAAGAAAAAAGAGACAAACCAAAGAACAGACTCTTAACTATAGAGAACAAAGAGATGATTACTAGAGGGGAAGTGGGTAGAGGAATGAGTGAACTAGGTGGAGGGGATTAAAAGTACACTTGTCTTAATGAGCACTGAGTAATATATGGAACTGTCAAATCACGATATTGTACACCTGAAACTAATACAATGCTGTATGTTAACTACACAGGAATTAAAATCTAAAAAAAATTTTCTTTGCTATTTAAAATATACATTTGACTAATTCACTTTAAAAATTAAAACTGGGGGGCGCCTGGGTGGCTCAGTTGGTTAAGCGACTGCCTTCGGCTCAGGTCATGATCCTGGAGTCCCTGGATGGAGTACTGCATCAGGCTCCCTGCTCGGCAGGGAGCCTGCTTCTGCCTCTGACCCTCCCCCCTCTCATGTGCTCTCTCTCTCTCTCTCATTCTCTCTGTCTCAAATAAATAAATAAAATCTTAAAAAAAAAAAAATTGAAACTGGGGTCAAATACAATATATTCTGGTAAATACACTTCAGTTCCTTAGTATCGCCAGTGCAAGAAAATGGAGACAGAAGACTCATAAATGAGTAATTAAACTGCTTTAGTAACACCCAGAAGTTCACACGTTATGTTACCACAGGCCCCAAAAAGATTAGCTTAACTGAAATACAATTCAACAGGTCTTATCCAAGAGTTGTAAAAAAAAAAAAAAAAAAAAAGGTAGGCACAATATGGCCTCCCCTCCAAATTCTTCTCGGGCCTTCAGTAAGTGCAAGATAAAATGTTATCATCAAACTTTCAAAGCATCCTTAAAACCTCAAGGCAAATTACAAATATTATTTAAGTTTCAAGGCAATCTTTTGAGGGCAGCCAACTCACAAAATAGGAATGAACTCTATTTTTAAAGGACAGGTTTTATAATTATACAAAGGAAATCAATCTCTGTAAAACCAGAAGTTATACATTCCCAACGTCACCTTTCAAACTACCATCTCAAAACTCACCAAACTCATTCACTTCCTCCATCCTCATTGTTCTGAAATTCTTACGTTCCCATTTATGGCACCAAACATATGGCAGGCACAATTTGGAATGGGATGCTCCTAATACCAATGGAGTTAACTCCAATCCCCCAGCCCTGAAAACTTCACAGACCAACCAGAAAGACAGATAAATCAAGCAGTGAAAATAGTTCAAACAAAAGAGGAAAGGGGTATGACAGCATACATATTCCAGAAACTGCAGCTATTTCTGTTTCAATGCATTATAGTCTGCAGGATGCATATGGTAAATAGTGGGAGAGGAAGTAAGAAAGATCAATGTTAAGGTTTAAACAATGCTGGAGAGCAGAAAAAGATTATTAGCAAGAACGCTCTAGCAGAACTGTGGGGAATGGTCTGGAGGAATAAATAAAATATGGAAGCAGAAACATTAAGATATTATATACCCTTGCTTATCCTATACTTTAGCTTGGATATGTGTGGCATCATTATCAAAATCAGTATCAAAATTAGAATTCCAAAAAGCTTAACAGTTATTTTGAGTTTGCTGCATGCTCAAAGTCAGTAAAGAAGGAAAAGAGGAATTTGCTTTGGGACATTATAATGCGGAGGTACCTGCTGGGTATTCAGGTTGATACCAGAAGTGCTGGAATACTGATCTGACAAAAAAAAAAAAAAAAAAAAAAAAAAGAATACTGATCTGATAGGTAGGAATATACTAATAGGTTTAGAAATCACAAGCGGTAATTCAAGTTTACAAGTGAAGATAAGCATGTATTTTCTGTGCTTCTAACAAAAGCCCAGAGATCACCCCCTTGTTCATAATTCCTCCATTTACACTCTCTAAAGATAGGAGGATCTCCGACCTTTTAGAATTCCTTCATTGAGATCTTTGACTATAAAATCATATTGTTGAAAAGTCAATGAAATGATTTTCAGGAGTACTTTATCTTAGTATCAGCAATTAAGACATTTCCCTAATGAGAAAACATTTTACATTAAAAAACATTTGCAAAGCTACATTCAATTGCCATCTAAAATATACCTCAACTACGAAAAAGCCCCCACTCCAAAGTAAGTAGCCCCAAAGATACCAATTTAAAACTAAAACCAAAACCTGGGATCCTCTGGGGTTTTTTGGCGGGGGGGGGGGGGGGGGGGGGTGGGGGGGGTGGGGGGGTGTTTAGAAAAACGGTACAAATGAAGAGGTCAATGGTTCTAGTCCGGTTTACCACCAACTACCAAATTATAGACATTTGATAAGCAGCCTGCCAGCTAGCATTAAATGATACTATTGTTAATCCAATTTTATTTATTTTTTAAAGATTTTATTTATTTACTTGACAGAGAGAGACACAGCGAGAGAGGGAACACAAGCAGGGGGAGCGGGAGAGGGAGAAGCAGGCTTCCCGCAGAGCAGGGAGCCCGAAGCGGGGCTCGATCCCAGGACCCTGGGCTCATGACCTGAGCTGAAGGCAGACGCTTAACGACTGAGCCACCCAGATGCCCGTTAATCCAATTTTAAATAGTGTTTGCCTTATCTCCAGATATACAACTGCTCTCCTCAGCATCTTTAAGATGGAAGTTTCAGCACGATTATGCCTAAAACTATTCATCAGTATTTTGTTATCCTTAAATCAAATGCCAGTGTTAGAATTATTAAACGAAAATATGGATTCTGGTAGTTTAGTCAATGCTGTACTTGTTCAACTGTTAAGAGTAGTACTAGGCTTCCAAAGTTGTTATTACTAGACCGAAGATCACCACATAAAGTCCTTAAAGAACAGTTTGATAGCAGGGTATTCTAATCCTCCATCACTGGTTAACAGACATTAGGAAACAAAACTGCGCCCTTGAAGCATATTTCTAGTTGCTATAAGTTTTGAAACGTCAGCTGTTTCAAACAATAGCTCTGTCTACTATGTATTGAGCAACAATCTATTTCTAAAATATTTGTGGTCCAAGTCTTCTTACATTCAACTCTCAATGCGGTATTGCCTGATACTTTGTACCATCAAGAACTTACAACCAAACACCGTTTTGCAAGATGCGTTTAAGAATAGAAAAAGAGCAAACCTCTCCGCCGATTTCTTTTGTAAAAAGGAAAGTGGCGATCGCCCCAGAGTGACTGAGGAGCCCCGCAGCCCCAGGCCTTCCTCCCCGCGCGGCCGGGAGGGCGCCCACTCCCAAGGCTGGAAGGCAAGGGGCCCAGCGCCCGCACACCCCCGGCTGGGATTGGCCGGCCACGCAGTCATTCAGCGCCGACACGTCAGGGCAGCTGCTCCCTCCCTCCTCCCGCCCCCTTCTCCCCGCGCTTGGCAAGAAAAGCGGGCAACGTGGAGCGGGAACAAAGGACCCCGCGGCCCACGGCGATCCGGGACGCGGTGCCACCCCACTCCGGGCCCGAAGCACCGATGCAGCCTGGGGCCGGCTCCCCGCCCACACGCGCCGGGTCCTGGGAGGTCCCAGGGAGGAGAGTCCAGACCTCGGTTAGACCGAGACACTAGGAGTCGGTTCCTGACAGCGGGAAAGGAGATTCCCGCGTCCTCCTTCCGGCAGTCATCCTTGCCCCGTGGCGCCCTGACCCAGGCCCCCGAGGATCCCCCGGGCAAAAACTCCCGCCCTACTTCCTCTGCCCCAGCTCTCTCTGAGGCGGCCGGCACCCGCCTCGGCCGCCAACGCGACCCGGCAACCATGGCAGCGCCAGGAGCGTCCTTCCCCGGGACCAGAACGCTGCTCCGCGCCTCGCACCGTCTCCCCAGCCGCCCGCGCCATCCCTCTGCTCGGACTCCGGGCGCCCTCTTCCTCCTCCACCGTCTAGGTCCTGCGCGTATTACCTGGTTCATCTCTGAAGAGATGGAAAAACTCATGTCTGGAGCTTCGATGGGGAGCAGGAGGAAGCGGGCGGGAATCGGCCCAACGGAAAGCGCCTCGAGGCCGCGGAGGGGGGGAGCGGTCGAGCGGGAAGAAGACGAGCGGTCCGTCCGCGGAGGCTGCGAGGAGGGGGGCCGCGCCACCGAGGGTTCGCGGGGACTCGCTCGCTCGCTAGCACTGCCGCGCCGAAGCAGCAGGCGGAGAAACTGTGCCGAGCAGCTCGGAGCTCCCGACCTGCACGCGCGTCCCGGAGACACTGCCGCCGCCGCCGCCGCCCGCTCGCGCCGCACCCCCTCGCACGTCACCACGTGCGCCGCCGCCGTCGCTGCCGCCGCCGCCGCCGCCGCCGCCAGTGCCTCCCGGCAGCTTCCGGCCCGAATCCGTCGGCGAATCACAAGCGAGCACGAGAAAGCTCCCGCTCGGGGCCCCGCCCACCGCTCGCCCAGACTCTCCTTCGCCCCCTTGGGTTCCTTCCTGCTCGGCTCAACTAGGTCAAGGCAAGGTGATCCCAGGGAGAGAGGCAGTGTTTAGGGCGCGCCTCCTTTTATTTATCGCGTTGTCGTCTCCTTCCCTAGCCTCGCACCCTCGCTTCGCCCTTTCGGACTGTGCCGGAACTGGTTTCCTCCAGCCGCCCTCACCTGTTTTGCCTCCCCCTAGAGGCACAATAACCGGAGATCAGACGTGGGAGATTAGATCTCTCGACGTCAAATTTACATCTAGGCAACTGCCCTAGACTGGAGCTGGCCGCCGCGGACCTTAGAGCCCGCAGTTGGCCGTGGGCCCTCACCTTTGTTGAAGGGTGCGGGGAGGGGGCGTGAGCGTTGTGAGTGAGAAGAGAGGCACGCTGGGGGAAGGGGTGAAAGTGTTCAGTAACTGAAAAAATCATAGGCGAGGTCAGAGAAGGCCTTCTATTAGTGTTGCTGTAAAAACCTGTTTACTTCTCCTTTTGGTCCCCCGGATTTCTGTTTTGTCTGAGCGCGGCTCTCCTTTCGGAGACAGTCCTTTCTTTGCTGGTCTTGCCCTCTTTGGGAAAAAGAAAAAAGCCTGGAGAATCAGCAGTCCCTGTCCTAACCTTCTGGGGCCTCTTAGACCACATGCCAAACTTAGTTACCCACCCTGCCTCTTTGCCCCAAGAGGCAAACCTGTTCCGGGGACACACGAGGTATACTGGGCTCTGACGGCAACTTCATGTGACTGAAGGGCATGCTGGAAAGTTTCCTAGATTAAAGGTGAGGGGATTTGCCGAGGTAAAGTTTAGAGTTTGGCAGAGGCTTCCAGGCTAACGTCCTGTTCGATTATCCTGATTTGGGGAGGGCACTTTAAGCGGTCTAGGCCCGACCTTGTTTGTATTTGACCACTCAAGTTAGTTTATAGACATTTCTAGGAGCCTACCGCTCTTTATCATGAACTATTTATGCTTATGGGAGCGGGAGAAGATGAATGTTGGGGCCCTTCATCTGCAATAGAAGCTTTACAACTTTTCTTTCTAAAATCTTGAGGCAAAGAGTCTTGTTTTTTCACCCCTGTTCAGTTGTGGGAGGAAACAGGAACTAAGATATCTATTAGTATGACTGTTCTATCTTGAGGAGAAAAAGACTGACATTTGCCACTGGGCTCTTGTTTTTTGTTTTTTTTTTTTAAAGATTTTATTTATTTATTCATGAGAGACAGAGAGAGAGGCAGAGGGAGAAGCAGGCTCCCAAGGAGCAGGGAGCCCGATGCGGGACTCGATCCCAGGACCCTGGGATCATGACCTGAGCCGAAGGCAGACGCTTAACCATCTGAGCCACCCAGGCGCCCTGGGCTCTTGTTTTTGTCTTCTGATAATTAATAACGATAGCAGTGTTCACGTTTATTGCAAATGAAGCTATTAGAGTACATGCCTCTTAAGTTTTTTTTTTAATATCATGGGCTTCATTCTTTCAGTGAGAGAGTATGAATTGCCTACTTTGGAGAGGCACATGACTGTGTGGCCTGCTGGACACATGGTCCCTCTTGCTGTACTCTAAATAGTGCCTTTGTGACCTGAAACAGTCAACACTTTTCTTAAAGCTACAGTGTGATCAGTCCATGCATTTTTGCCTTGTATGGAATTTCACATTTACATATTGCCTTTTCTATAGATAATGGCATAATTAATTAATTCCATTTGTCTTCTAGTCAACTCCAGACTCAAGCATATCTATTCAAGTGCTATATAATCCAGATGAAAACTTGAAAATGGAACACTGGCAATTTTAACCTTATAAAGTCACAAATTATAAGATGTTATTCTTAATATTTAACTTAGACAAGATATATGTGGAGAGTGCTTAATAAAAATAAAAACTATCAACTTCTATTTTAAGTTAGGCACTGAGAAAGGTAAATCGGGAATTGGGGACCATCTGTAATCTTTCCATTTTTCTCTCTGATCCTGCTTCAAATGTTCCAGTGCTAAACTCTGACTTGTGTTTTATTCTTTATTTATTAGCTTGCTACGGCTTCTCTAACAAAGTACCACAAACTGGGTGGCTTAAACAACAGAAATTTATTGTCTCACAGTTCTGGAGGCTAGAAGTATTAGGTCAAGGTGTCTGCAGGGCCATGCTCCCGCCATGGAAGTTAGGGAAGAATCTGTTCCAGCCCTTTCTCCTGGCTGCTGGTAGTTCTTTGGCTTGCATGTCATTTTCCCTGTGTGCCCATCTCTTGGGTCCGAATTTTTGCTTTTTATAAGGATGCCAGTCATATTGGGTTAGGGGCCCATTCTAACCAAGTATGACCTCATCTGAACTAAATCTCAATGACTATTTCCAAATAGGATCACATTTTGTTTGAGGTATTGAAGGTTAGAACTCTAACATATGAATTTTGGAGGGGACATAATTCAACACATTAGTTCAGTGTTTCTCAAGTTTAGTCCACTGACCAAAACCACTTGGATATTCTTATTAGAAATGCAGTCCATAAGCTTCACCCTAACAAGTGATTCCCAAAGGAGGAGAGTGATTTGTGCCCCCAGGGGACATTTAGCAACATCTGAAAACAGGCCCAGGGGAAGGATGCTATGGTATCTAGTGGACCTGGAATGCTGCTCAACCACCTGCAAGGCACAGGGTGTCCCCACAGCAAGAAAATCATCTCTTAATATGTTAATAGTGCCAAGATTGAGAAACCCTCCTGTAGAACTTCTAGATCAGAATCTCTGGGAAAGGGACTTGGAAATCTACATTTTGATAAGCATCCCAACAACTTGTGCCCATGCTGAAGTTTGAAAACCACCACAGATACAAAAACCTTTTTTAGGCATATGAACATGAACCATTTTGTTCTAGATATTAGTCACCCCTCTTCTTGTTTAGCCATGTGAACTGTGATAAGTGAATCTAAGTAAATATTACTACTTAGCAATTCACACAATTTACAAGTCTCACCCTAACGTTAATCTTAAACTGGAAACTTGTTTACATTTTAATACTTTTATGCCATGTTGCATTGTTTTTGATCGACTGTCTACGTATTCTGGATGTCCTTTGCCAAATGAAAAAAACCATTGCAAATTTATGGTTTGGCAAGGCAATGCTTTGCCTCCTCCGGTCCACTAATTTCTGTTGTACTCTTGAGTGACCGACTGACTTGTCTATTTCATATATTGCTCTCATCCCTTGCAGTCTATGTTTGCTGTTCCTTCCATTTTTTTTCTCTATTGGCATTTGAAAATATTTTTGTGGTGCATTAGTGGTGCCTTAACAGCACAAACAAGAAAATGGTAGTGTCATAAAAGGCACAAGAAGCACAGGGAAAAATCCTAAAACTTCCATTAAAATAGGTCATTGGAAACTGTTATGTATTGCAGTATATAACAAATGGAGAACTTGATGCCTTTCTAAAAAATTGCTTTAAGTGTTCCCTTTTAGAATCTTCCATTTTCCTGGTAAGACTTCCATAGAGAGTTTGCATCAGAACAGATTATATAATCAGAATATTTTGATCCTGCATTAGCCTTGTTGACTATTATCTAAGCCAGCTGTTTTACTAATGACCTTTTGCTGGTTTTCTAAAGTCATCACTGATAAAATTTTGAGAACAACTCTAGCCTCCTCCTCCAGTAACCAAAACCCCCTAATAGTTTCTTTCTCTTTCAACAATTTCTTAGGAATTAAAACTTCTCATGTCATTCAGACGTTGTTCCCGTGACATTATGACCTTCAAGCCTGCTACCTTTTTGGACTATGCGGCCAACAACTGTATATTCAGCTCTTGAATTCTAATGTGTAACCTAAGCTTTACTAAGCCTTCATGCAAAACACCTTTAAAAAAAAAAAAATTAACTTAATTGTTGAAAATAAGCAAGGCATGGAATAAGCAGCCTTTATACTAAGCTGAGTTTTTAATGTAAACATTAACAATCAAATGTATAAACAAAACTGTGGTAACATAAGCGCAATCTATACAGTTCAATCCAAGAGAGATCTTTTGTTGTGTTCACATCCAAAACTTGATACCTAAATGGATGGAAGTTACACACTATAGTTCAGCTGGACTAGCTGCCAACTGTTGCTAGTGTAAACTGATCACTTAACAAATGAAGTCAAGAGACTTCTTTAGAGAAAGAAACAGACAAGACAGAACAGTGGTGTTGTAACATCAGTTCTCCCTTTTTCTATAATGTGTTCTACTTTCCGGAGGAGACCAGAATGAGGGACAATGAGATAATGATGAAATTTTACAAGATTCTAATGAATTGGGCTTTCTAAACTACTGAAGAAAGTCATAAACTTGTTATCTAAGGGTTCCCACCCTTGAGAGTGATCCCTCGAGGCTCTGGTCCTCCTAAATTGGTACCCTCAGGAACAGAACTGTCAAGTAAGAGGTTTTCGTTCTCAGTTGTCTCTTCTCTAATGTCTTACTAGAGAGAAAAATGTGAAAGAAAATCTAGTGGCAATGTGTTCTACCAATACCCTTAAGGGCGACCAGGCCTGAGACACACTTCTCTTCCTTCTGTACTTGTGTCTTCTCACTACCTTGCTCCTATCTATCTTTCAAGACCCAGTTAGCACCTCGCCACTTCCAAGAAGTGGGCTAGTGTTAATGGAAAGAGTGCTGGACTGGAAGGTCTAGGCCCATGTCTTAACTAATTAAGGAAAATCTCTTGTCTTAATAATTGTGTTTTCTAATAAAATGGGAATGATAATACCTGCTTCACAGAATTATATACTTGGCGCATGGTGGGTGATAAGTAAATATGTGTATATGTATTTATTTAAATGCCTCCCCCAGTTACTCCAGCATACATAATTTCTCTTTCATCTTCCTGAGCCTGGGCACATCACTTGTAACACACACTTAATTCACCACAGGATACTTTTATACTTGCAGACCTAAGAGATGAGTGAATTGAATTTTTGAATACATAATAGCAACTCAGATTCTTAAGTCAGTTGCTCTTCTGCCCTCAGGTATCTTTGAAGTGTTGGAAGAATGAATGTCAAAATCACATGTACCTTTCATGGCTCTTTCTGTCAAATGGATGTTTCCAAATAATGATGGTAAGTGGTGGAGGGCCAGGGTGTGCTAGAGGAGTAGGACCATGAGAAAGGGGGTGGTTATTGAGGCATATCACCTCGCAGAGGGAGTAAAGGTACTTCAAATGACTTAGAACGAGGACATTGGATCTCCTTACCTAATATCCCTTCCTCTTCTCAAAGAGATTTCAACTATGCTGAAGGGGATAGGATGTAAGATTGTCAACTCCACTTCTTCACCTAGGTTTCTTGTGGTCCAGACTCAAGAAATGTTCTATTCCATTAGTGGTGGGAACCTGAAAATCCATACTGTTATGGAGAGAGGGTAATCTGTTCCACTTTGTGCTTAGCTCTATGGGGATCAGGACCATGGTTCATTTTTTTTCTGATCGTAGCACCTAACCTAGTATTTTTGTGAATGATTTTTGTCTTCTAAAAATATCTATTGAACTTTTGGAAATTGTTTTCCTTGTGTCAGTGGAATAGGAAATTTGAGAATTTTCTCTCTGCAAAGTACTAACATTTTCTTTGCTGTTAAGGGGATTCTGTCAATTTATAAGCTTCTTTCTTCAATAACTTATAGTGTTGTAAATGATTTAAAGTCTGCTGAATCATGAAAATTTTATTGCTTTTACTCTATCGGGAATGAATTTATGGATATCTGATTTGCATATTAACCGTAAATGAAAGAGAAAAATCCTTTAGTTATATGCATTTTTTAAAAGTACTAGATTACTGGGGCACCTGGGTGGCTCAGTCGTTAAGTGTCTGGCTTCGGCTCAGGTCGTGATCCCAGGGTCCTGGGATCGAGCCCTACATTGGGCTCCCTGCTCGGTGGGAAGCCTGCTTCTCGCTCTCCCTCTGCTGCTCCCCCTGCTTGTGTTCTCTCTCACTGTGTCTCTCTCTGTCAAATAAATAAATAAAATCTTAAAAAAAAAAAAATAAAGGTACTAGATTGCCTACTGAGAAATTAGCTTCATTGATTGCCACAGTGTCACTCTGCAGAGATTTCTGGATAATCTTTTAGTGTTGCATCAATTCTTATTCATCCCATTAAGTTTATGAAATGTGATGGGCTCTCTCACCTAAAGGAATAGTAATATAGACATACCTTATAATTAGCCTAAACTTCTTTGAGGGTCTACATCAAGGAAACAAGTTAAATATGGATTTAAAAAATTTTCAAAGACACTGCAGAATCATGGTCATTTCTTTACTGTGTTATTATTTTTTTCTTAAAGATTTTATTTATTTATTAGAGAGATAGCAAGAGAGAGGGAGAGAGAGCAAGTGCACAAGCGGAGGGGAGGGGCAGAGGGAGAGATAGAGAGAGAAGCAGACTCCCCACTGAACAGGGATCCCAGGACCCTGAGACCATGACCCGAGCTGAAGGCAGATGCTTAACCGACTGAGTCACCCAGGCGCCCCTAACAGGTTATTTTTGAAGTGGTATAAAGAATGAAACCCAAGCTACTAAAAGGTTGAGCACCTGTAATGAATTGAAAAGCTGTTTAGAATATATGTACACAAACAGTATACTGCTTTTCCTGTGTTTCTTCTACATGGAAAAGTGACATTATGTAGCTGTTTCTCAGAATTTTACATAAAATTATTTTCTGCCATAACAAAATGAATCCTGTTTTGTTTGTTTGTTTTTTCTCTGCATTTCCTAGAAAATTAGGAGAAGCCTATGAACTGAATCATCACAGTGGGGATCAAGGTTCTTCACAGTATGTGTCTATGCTGGGACTGAATCCATCCCTTCCTTAATATACCATTCCCTTTGCACCTGCCCTTTGCACTGACTGAAGCGCCCTTCGCTTGGTTAATTTCTACTCATCTTCTAGGCCTCAGTGTAGAACTCACTTCCTCCAGGCAGCGTTCCCTCACTGGCCACGGCTAGGTGGGCTGTCCCCTCCCATGAACTTACATCGCACTCCGGGATATCTCTCCTCCCCATAGCACTAATCACATGGTAATGAAAATTCCACTTGTCTGTGCCCCTTCTGTATGCTACATTGTGGGAGGACAGATGCCATCCTGTTCATCTTTGCAACCCCAGTGCCCACCCTAGGCCAGGCATGTAGAGATCTTCCACACACATCTCTATAAAGGAAGTGGGGACTAGATAGTGCATCATTCCTATTGCCTTGGGCTTTGAAGACATATCAATGTAAAGAAAGTGACTTTTGCCTGAATTTTTTGTAGGGTGATGATCAATTTGTTTTAGCTTTCAAATTCTAACCTAAAGTAATATGTGATGTTCACAAAGTAGTCAAAAGAGTACCATGTAGGTACTTCTCTGTCACTTGTCAGAAAAATGTCCCAGTGGGGCCATTGCAAGCCTTTCATGTGACCCTATTTACCTAATGGGGTGGCCCACATGTCAGTGCTTGTTACTAAACAGCAAATCAAGCACACGGATCCTTAACAGATTGAATCATCCCATTTTCTGGAAGATAATGTATCTGACATTTTGATATCAGTCAAGGGAGGTGTCATTCTAATGTTGCACGTATGTAAAACCTTTCCTAATCTGCAGAGCTTGTTTCTAGGTGTCTTAAGCTCCTGCATTACACCACAAGCTTCCTGCATGTCTTCTTGAGGCTTTAAGAACCACAGTGTCAAGTATGGCACCTAACACATTGCAGGTGCTCCGGGAACAATGAACGAATTACAGAATAATAATTTTGAGTGCTATAGGTGCGTATGGTCACTTTTCATGTTATTTCATTCATTCCTCATAGCGGCTTCAGGAGGTATTTATTATATCATTCTTGTCTTATGAAGAAGGAAGTGGGAATTTAGAGATGCTGGAAGCTTACCCAAAGTTGTTATTTGAATGTTGGAGGCAGGAGTTCAGTCCAGGAGAGTCTGATCTGAAGCCCACCCTGTTCCACCACCACACTCTGCCTTTCATGACGTGCTTACTGACTCAATTTATTAATAATTTCCATAGGAGACAAATGTATCATCAGGCACAGCCAATTCATTGGTGGAGGGCTGGACAGGGAGGATGTTGATAGGTTATATAACTGAACTTTTGTCTTTGGAACTAGTAGAATTAGCTATTAAGGATAATCAGAAGTACAATATAACCAGTAAATAGAGCTGTGAACACACTAACTTAACATGCAGCCTTAAGAAAGGGGGTAACTCTTCTTGATAAAAAGCGTCCAATCTAACTTCACCCACAGGTCTTTAAGAGAAACAAGATGAGGCAGAAATGACTAGTTGACTATGTCTTCCATCCATTCTCCTTTTTCTCCTTAGAAATACAATACTAAAGGTCATGGTTCCTAACCTCCCTTGCAGCTAGTTTTGGTAAACTGAATTTTGTGAGGCCTTCATGGAAATATCCTTCAAAGGAAAGAGGAATACCCTTCTTCCTTCTTTTTTCTGCCTGGCTGGGATGCAAATGTGATGGGTTGAAATCAAGTAGCCATTGTGGATCAGGAGGTGACAGGCTCAGGACTGACCAAGGTAGTGCCATAGGAAGAGTCTAGCTTCTGCTGACCTTGGACCTGCCATTTCTGCTCTGGACTGCCAAATTCTGGACTTCTTCTATGTGAAAGGGTAACAAACTGTCATCTTGTTTAAGCCCAAAAATGGAAGTGGAAATAGCCAATTTAGTGATTTCCGTCATTTAAAAAAGTGTCGCTTCTGTGTGTTATTCTGTTTCTGTTCAATTTATTTCATCTTACAATCCTGCAGCTGTTTCTACTTCCTGGACCCTACACTGCACATTAAAACTAGCAAGCAGCAAATATCATTTCTGTGTCATAGGCTGTGCGGGTATTGATCCTCTCTAACAAGTTCACATTGAGTCCTTTGTAGGTGACTCTGATTAAAGGTCAGGAAGCCACATGTAAACCCTACAAATAATCTCAAGTTTTGAATTATACAATTTATAAAATTAGGCCCTACCTCAGCTTTCCCTGATCTGACCATTATCTAGTGCCACATCATCCCCCCCCCAAATGGAATATTATACTACTCGATACTTAGCAAATGTTTACTGAGTTTGCACATAATAATGTGTAAAACATTGTGTTGTATACGGTGAATTCACAGATAGATTGTAAGGGTTTTGATTCTTTTAGAAAGTAATCAGTTTATTGAATAAGGTAAACTCTGTGAGGTACACATAGGGAACAGCTTTATTTTTCTGTAATCCTCAAACATGCACTTACCTTCTCATTCCTGCCCTGGAGATAACCCTTCACATAGATCTCATGGCTTTCCAGCCGCTTTAATACCTGAAAAGTAAGGGTTACTTTTCTTACTTTATTTTTTTACTTTACTTTCAGGTATTAAAAGACAAATACAGGTCAGTCTAAATCCAAACATAATATCTAATTTTATAATCCAATTACATCTAATCTCACATATAATTCAAAGTTTCCCTGGCCTCCTCCAGCCCCAAGCCCAGGCCTGAGCCAAAGCTCAGGGCGCACAGCACGCAGGGTGTGGTGTGTGGTCTCTTACACTCCTCCATTACTTTCCACCCATGTAGTAAATGCAACTCCATTCTAATCTCCGCCCTTTATTCCTGCCACATTCCCTCTTGCTCACTTCTCTCCAGTCCTGTTGGCTCCTTTCCACCCCAGAAAATACTAAACATGTTCTTGCTAAGGGCCTTCCGGTTTTCTATTCTCTCTGCGTGGCTTTTTCCCTCACTTTTAGGTCTCAGCCCCAGTGTCCTCTTATCAGTGAGGTCTTCCCTGATCTCTCCATCTCAAGCAACACACAGCCACACCCATCACTTACTCTGCTTTGTTTTTGTCATCTCACCATCTGGTAAGTTACACTTCTGCTAAGAAGCAAGGCGCCTGTCTGCCCTTCTGCAGATTCCTTCCATCTTTATGGGAGAGGTTGGGAGGTAACTTAACCTTTCTCTCTGTGTGAGAAAAGAAGGAAAAACAGCCCAAACACTCTCCACTCTGAATTCCTGCTCTCCTTGAGCTTCTTCAATGATCTTTCACAATTTAGCCAGGTCCTATAAAAACTGGAAGTGAGGGTTTCATAGATACCGGACTGATTTGTTTTCTTTTTTTTTTTTAAGATTAATTTATTTTATTTTATTTTTTTTAAGATTTTATTTATTTATTTGACAGAGAGAGACGCAGTGAGAGAGGGAACACAAGCGGGGGAGTGGGAGGGGGGAAGCAGTCTTCCCGCAGAGCAGGGAGCCCAGTGCGGGGCTCGATCCCAGGGTTCTGGGATCATGACCTGAGCCGAAGGCAGACACTTAACCACTGAGCCACCCAGGTGCCCCAAGATTGATTTATTTATTTGAGAGAGAGAGTGTGTGGTGAGTGGGGGTAGGGGCTGAGGGAGAATGTGAGAGAATCCCAAGGAGACTCCCCGCTGAGCGCGAAGCCCACGCAGGACTCAATCCCACGACCCATGAGATCATGACCTGAGCTGGAATCAAGAGTTGAACGCTCAACTGACTGAGCCACCCAGGCGCCGCTGGTATGTTTTCTTTTATTAAGTCTGGCCTGGATGTTTCAGGCACTCTTTAGAATGGGACAGGGGATGGGGTGGTGGAATTGTCTCTTCTTATTCTTAGCTTTGGGACTTCAGCTACGGTGTAGAGGCAACACGCCGAGTAGATAGGAACCTTCTCACAAACTAGTGTGCTCTATTCCCACAAGACCATTTGAATTTGAGGTAATCTTATGATATGAACAGATGGCTCTAAGAATTCAAGATGTCCCAATTTTAGGAAACAGGAACCTAGGCATTTACACAGCTGAAAAGCAATATAAACTTGGTTATGCCTTACTAGGGTAGAAAGCTACTGGTTCTGTCTGTGTAGCATTCACTCTTCTTTCTGCTTGGACCAGCACCCTTTGGCTGCAGTGAATGTTCATGGGTGGGTGTGTGACCAAATTTGGTCCAATGAGAACAAATACTTGGGCATTGGCTGGATAGGAATCTGGAAGATACATGCCTAGTGCTATTCGGGCTGTCACAGGGAGAGAACTTGCCTTAGAGTGAAGGCAATAAAAAGGAAAGTGGATGTGAAAGATGGGAAGAGATCAAGGTGCAGTGAAGTTGCACTGGATCCAGCCATGCTTGAAGTCAATGCCTAGACTTTTTATATGAGTCAGTTAATTTCCTTATTTCCCCCCATAAGCCAAGTGATTTGGCTTTTCATCCCTTATAGCCCAACAGTGCTCGTTGTTATGCCATTTTTCAACTTAAATCTTTGCCTGTACATTGTCATCAGAGCTGGTACATCCCTGGCATATTTTCTCAAGATGGACTTTTTCCAGGGAGTGATGATAATTAAAAGGACCTATTAATGTCCCACTCTGGGATTCTTCTGGCCACAGGGCACACTAGAAGAACTATTGTTAATAATTGTTTTGACAACTACAATAATGTTATATTTGGATGCATAGTTGTGTTTGTGATTTGAATTTTACTGTTCTACGTATGGCTGAAGAAATTTTCTTTCCATAATAATTCAGCAGGAAAGGCTTATATTTTTATTCATCATTTTATTAATCTTTAGAGAAACTATCTAAATATCTTTAGGTTACTAATCTTTTATGTTCAGGTATAAAGTATATAATTAACTCTGAAGGTACCAAAACTCTTTAAGGAAACTAAAATTCTTTAACATTCAAAAAAATGTATTCTCTCTAGTGCCTGAGACATTCTTCTAATAAAGAGATTTAAAAGTAATATATAACCCAGGCAAAGTGGTTTCATCTTTGAGAACTCTTAGCAATGTTATTGTTGGGAGAATTAATTTTTTGGACGAAATCAGAAATTATTCCTTTTACTGTGATTTTATACACACTAAAGTTCTTTTTTTTTTTTTTTTTTTGAGAGAGAGAGAGCACAAACAGGGGAAGGGGCAGAGGGAGAGGGAGAAGCAGGCTCCCCACTGAGCAGGGAGCCTGATGTGGGCTTGATCCCAGGACCCTGGAATCATGACCTAAGCTGCAGGCAGATGCTCAACCAACTGAGCCACCTGAGAGCTCCAAGTCTGCCAATATTAAATGACAACCAGGCAATGGTTAGTTTTTAGAGCCCTTATTTTAAGGATGGATAAATCAGATAAAATATGAACATATATGTTGGCCTTAAACACAAATTAAACTAGAATCCCAAGGGTCAACTTAGTAGACAATCTGGGAAACCAAAGCTCTACTCATTTCAAAGAAATAAAATAGGGAGTAGATAATCTGTTCCTTATCTCCCCATCTGAAATTAATTCCTGATACAACTCAAAACTCAGAATGGGAGTTAAAATTCTAATGTGTAAAAACAGAGATAGAACTTTTGAGTCATCTAAAGAACATTACCACTAGGAATATGACATTAGGTGGCCAGACATAAGATTTGGGGTGTTCAAAGAAACCTCTCAAGAATAGTTAGATTTTCTAGTGATTTAATTTAATCCTGGGATTGCTAATAGATTTCCATTTAGATGTCAAGTCCAATTAGTTGACAGTGTTGTTTGCAGTGTTGGGCTGTGAAGAATTAAGACTAAGTCTCAATACAGTGGAATAAGTGTGGCAATTGATGAGCAGTATCTGCCTTGTATGGGGAAAGAGAGAGGGAAGCTCCTCTTCCTCATGGTTGCCAGCCCCCTTTTAAGTTATTTTTGGAGGTATGTTAAGTCACAAAGGGAGCTGGTGAGCTGGATAGGGTCAGAAAAAACTATTTGGGAAATATAGGTTATTAAAAAATGATTCACGGGGCACCTCAGTGGCTCAGTCAGTTAAACGTTTGCCTTCAGCTCAGTTCATGATCCCAGGGTCCTGAGATTGAGCCCCACTTCAGGCTCCCTGCTCAGCGGGGAGCCTGCTTCTCTCTCTCCTCCCCACTCATGCTCTCTCCCGCTGTCTCTGTCTCTCTCTCAAATAAATAAAATATTTTTTAAAATGATCAGAAGATCTTGTCAAATCACCCAGTGTATATAACCATATGGGTCTGAAAGGGAACCATATTACAATGATTTGGGTTAGAAATGTGAACTTTTCAGAAATATGGTACAACACCCGACCCCATAGACAGAGGTCCTTGACAAAGAAGTCTACAAATCTCTTTTAACACATAAAGTGTAAGTCTTCAAATTTAGTAAAGTGTGAGAATTTCTGTGGGGAGACTGCATAGTTGATCTTTTCTGTGAGTACATCAAATTCATGTTCATTACCTATTTTGCCACTCGGCACTGTAAATCTTTAATGGAATTCTAAATATAAAGAGGAAAGAAGTTTCTTTCCTTTAGCAAATGGGGCCTCTGTTATTCACAGGGAACCCAAAGTCCCTCCAATGGGTGACACTGTCAAATCGAGGGATACTTCACTGAGAATGGAGAAGGAAAATAGTGATGTGTCCTTGTTGATCACACTGCATCCAGACAAATCCCAGTGCACATCTCTCAGTGGGGCTCATCCTGTTGGTGGATGAGCTGCCACCCAACGAGGGTGACACACCTGGTGAGTCAGGACAGTGACTACTTCTTACCCAGCTTCCTGCCCAAACCCGAGCCAATTTTGTTTCTTAGCCAAATGACATAAAAAACAACTTGAGGAAAATACAAAGTTATGTCCTTCCGAGACAGTCAGTTTCCAGTAGTGTCTGGTCTGTGGCTAAAATTCTAGACTTGAAATTAGGAGAGCTCAGAACCTTTGACAATTCAGCTTCCTTGCGCCTTAGTTTTCTCTTATTTTTAACTGGGAAGAGGGGGAGGCTAGAGGTAGAGACAGTGAAGAAAGGGATTTCATATTTAATGAGTTCTAGACATTTTATTTAAAGAGTTCCCTGCTTTCCCCAGACTACACCCACGGGTTCCTGAGAACAGCAGTAAGGTGCTGATCCTACAGATCAGAGGAAATAGAAGGAGCCCCTCCTCACCCTCCCACCTGCTGCAGGAAGTCTCAAAGGTTTGTTGCACAAGCGATTTGACCTGTGGTCTCCCTGGCTCCCTTGTGGTTTCAGATATTTCCATGGCCCTGTGGCTCTTGAGATGGGCACAGTCATGAAGGTAGTACCTCATTCCTCACTTGTAGTCTGTCTTCCAACCTCCTTGAGCAGTTTCCCACATATGTCTGGGTGATGTGGCCCCATGTTATGATTTACCAGCACTATCGTGTCTTTTCCCTGGGAATGAGCAGAAGTTCCTGAGGATCGGGCTGAGAACAATCCAGCTGCATTCAAACTCACCTTTTCCTATAGAAGGCCTGTGCTTGTCGCTTTATCGTGCATATAAGCTAGCATAGACCTTCTTTCATTGGGTTAAATTCTTTAAACCAGTGGTCTTCAAAATTCTGTAAAACTCTATGTCTTTGCACATTTGCAAGTTAACATCTGAACACGTACAAATAATATATTTTACATTATCTTCATGCTTTAAAATCTTTTCCTCAAAATCTGGTAGTTGCTGATTTCCCTTATTCCGATCAGACATTGTTCCTAAAGTGAGAGCAAATTATTTTTTCTCCACATCCTCGCCAACACTTGTTTCTTGTATTTTTTTTTTTTAAAGATTTTATTTATTTATTTGACAGAGAAAGACACAGTGAGAGAGGGAACACAAGCAGGGGGAGTGGGAGAGGGAGAAGCAGACTCCCTGCCGAGCAGGGAGCCCGATGCGGGACTCGATCCAGGGACTCCAGGATCATGACCTGAGCCGAAGGCAGTCGCTTAACCAACTGAGCCACCCAGGCGCCCTCTTGTATTTTTTATTTTAGCCATTCTGACAGGTATGAGGTGATATCTCATTGTAGTTTTGATTTACATTTCCCTGATGCTGAGTGATGTTGAGCATCTTTTCATGTGTCAGCCATCTGTTGGTCTTCTTTGGAGAAATGTCTGTTCATGTCTTCTGCCCATTTTTAAATTGGATTATTAATTATCTTGGTGTTGAGTTGCATAAGTTCTTTATGTATTTTGGATATTAACTGCTTACTAGATATGTTGTTTGCAAATATCTTCTCTCCCATTCAGTACATTTTTGTTTTGTTGATTGTTTCCTTTTCTGTGCAGAAGCTTTTTATTTTGATGTAGTCCCAATTGTTTATTTTTGCTTTTGTTTCCCTCGCTTCAGGAGACATATCTAGAAAAATGTTGCTACAGCCAATGTCAGAGAAATTACTGCCTGTGTTCTTCTCTAGGATTTTTAGGGTTTCAAGTCTCACATTTAGGCCTTTAATCCATTTTGAGCTTATTTTTGTGTATGGTGTAAGAAAGTGGTCCAGTTTCATTCTTTTGCAGGTAGCTGTGCAGTTTTCCCAACACCATTTGTTGAAAAGACTGTCTTTTTCCCATTGCATATTCTTGAGTGCCTGGCAACTTATTGGTCCCCAGTAGACATTTGTTGAATGAGTGAAAGAAATGAAGTGTCTGCCTTTGGTTACTGAGTTCCCTTTGACAAGTTTAGAAATGAAAACTTTGAATAGTTTCAACATCCCTCTGAACATAATGATTGGCTTGGTGGACTCTTCATCTTGCCCCCTTTTTGCAAACCACATTGGCAAACAGAGCACAGGCTAGGATTCCTGCCCTCACTGAAGTTACATTAGAATCTGGGTGTTGAGGGGCACCTGAGTGGCCCAGTCAGTTAAGCATCTGACTCTTGATTTTGGCTCAGGTCATGATCTCAGGGTCGAGAGATCGAGCCCCGAGTCGGGCACCATGCTCAGCGGGTAGTCTGGTTGGGATTCCCTCTCTCCCTCTCCCTCTGCCCCTCCCCCTGCTCTCTCTCACTCTCCCTGTCTCTCTCTCTTAAATAAATAATCTTTTTTTTATATAAGATTTTGTTTATTTATTCGACAGAGAGAGACACAGCGAGAGAGGGAACACAAGCAGGGGAATGGGAGAGGGAGAAGCAGGCTCCCTGCTCCACGGGGCTCAATCCCAGGATTCTGGGACCATGACCCGAGCCGAAGGCAGACGCTCAATGAAAAAGTAATCTTTTTTTTTTTAAAAAGAACCTCGGTGCTGAAATGTAATAGGGTTAAGTAGCAGATGTCACTCATGTTTCTCTAGTCATATTTCTATTATACATCTCCTTACAGGTTTTTAAGAATGCCTTTGCAATTATAGATATATATGGTCATGGAACCCAGTCCTGCAAGAAACCAAGCAGCTGTCAGTGTGGGATCTGCTGATGTGCTTTGAGAACATGTATGTGTGTATATAATTTCTTGCTCCTTCTTTTCCGTGGAGCCCTCTGGAGTCAGAGCTCAGGGACAATGAGATCGTCAGTGTTTGCTGATAGATCAAGGCCAAGGAATTCAGTTTATAGTGTATAGTGTGTGAAATCTCAGGATGGTAGGAGCACAGCTTCCCTGAAAGAAGAAAATATTATGTATTTTGAAATAGTTTGATGTGTTAGATTTATATTTATGTCATTTTTCATTGGCTCTTTTCAAAGCCATATCACTCAAGTCATTTCAATGTATTGAAAATGTGTGTTGTTAAAAAAAAAAAAATTTCTTTCCTGAAGGAAAAGCTATATCCACAATAGCAGCCTTTCAGTTTTTGGTTTTGTGTCAAGTTCAACCCTATAAACAAGTTCTATGCAAGTGAAAATGCAGACAGAACTTTCCTCCCAATGGTTCATCCCTAAAGGTAAGTCCCTTTGGGACAGCCCAACTAGGTGCTAGCTCTTAGCTTCCTCTTTAGGTGTATGTGCTCTGTGAGATCCTGGATCCCGTAGCTGATCCACAGTAGATAGTGGGGCACACCAGGAATCTGAGCCATGCAGGTGCATATCCTGAACCCAAGCAAGGAGGATTTCTGCAGGACATTGTTGTGCTTATAATTAATCAAAGTTAATGATTCAGTTTTACATTTCAAATTTGCATTTATATTAGTCAAGCAAAGAATCCCTCGTGAAACACTAACTTTAGGGCTCCTTACCTCTTTGCCTGTGTTGTTGTCCTTGTGTCCTGACTGGTATATCTGCTTCTGTTCTCAGGGAACTTGAACACTGATTAGAATCACAGATAAAATACAGAAGGCCCTGTTAAATGTAATTTCCAGAGAAGCAAAATAATTTTTTTTTTGGTAAATGTTGTGTCCCAAAAGATGTAGTGTATTTTGCCCCCAAATATTACATGGCATCACTATGAGGTATGATGGGATTACTTGTCATGAAATCTTCAACAATTTTTTTTAAATCTATCGGTGCTGACCAGTTCCAGATCTCAGTATCTGGTCTTATCATGTGCTCTAAACTAAGTATCTCCACTGTGATGGCTTGCAGGTAGTATGTTGAAATCTAAGCTCATTATCTTCTCTACCCATAATCTCAATTTCAGCCATCCATCCTGTTGCTGAACTGCCCTGGACCATTCATTTACCCCTAGAACCCATTAGGTAGGTCCACGAGAGCTTTTGCAGGGCTCTTTGTTTCTCTCTCTCTCGTCTCAGTGACCAGAGATACCTTTAAAAAGATTCCAGCATATTCCCTCTACTGCTGTCCCTCTTTTTATGTCTTTCCTTCTAATCAAGTGACTTTCAAACTTTGGACAATGACAAACACACACACACACACACACGAATATATGTATATACAGAATCAAAAGTTCCCTGCCACTATCCTTACCCTTAAAACCTGAAGGGCATTCTGATGTTTTCTATTCTATTTCATTTTTAAAAAATTGCAATCTGGTGATCTCCTGAATTGGAGTCATGACCTGTGGTTTAAAAAACCACTACTGATTCCATTTTATGAATAACAATCTGACAGTTGTTATAAAACATTGAACGGGGGCACCTGGGTGGTTCAGTCTGTTAAGCATCTGCCTTTGGCTCAGGTCATGATCCTGGGGTCTTGGGATGGAGTCCCACATCAGGCTCCCTGCTCAGCAGGGAGTCTGCTTCTCCCTCTCCCTCTGCCTGCCACTCCCCCTGCTTGTGCTCTCTCTGTCAAATAAATTAAAAAAACAAAAACAAAAAAAACATTCAACCGATTGTGTCACTCCCTTGCTTAAAGTCTTCCAATAATTAGACTTAAGAGAAAGTAGAAGATGCTCACTGTGGCATTAAAAGCTTCCAACTGGCTGTTTTCTCTCATCAGCTGGTCCTCGTGTTGGGAGAGAGCTCCTCCCTTTTCCCTCGCGCTAACTCCCCACAGTAAACAAATTCTTCAGGCTCAAATGTTATTTGCTCAGGAGGCCTTCACTGCCCTTTTAGCCTAAGTGAATCCCTTTACTAGATGGTCTGCCATACTTGACACTTTCATAGCAGAACCAACCTTTAAAAATATTGGTTAGTCTCTCAACTGCTCAAAATCCTTCAGAGACTCTTCATTTCATTCAGACTAAAATCCAAAGTCCTTACAGTGGCCTACACTATCCAACATGATCTCTCTTCCCACCTCCCTAGACTTCTACTACCCTTTCTCCTTGTTTACTCCAGACATACTGGCTTCATTATTATTCCTCCAGGTTGGCCAGGTACCCTCCTACCTCAGGACCTTTGCATTTGCTGTTCCCTCCACTTGGAACACCTCCCACCCTGCAATATTTACTTGACACACCCTCATTTCTCAAATGATACATTGTAAATGAGGCCTTCTACAGTCACCTTATTTAAAATTGCATCTCCTATTCTGTCATTCTCTATTTTCTTCTGTTTTATATTAATTTATTTTACTTATTTATGTTGCTTGTTATATATCTCTCTCCACTAGCATGTAAACTTTAAGATGATAGGGATTGTTTTTTTACTGCTAAAATCCCAGCCCTTAGTATAGTGTTTAGTTTGTAGTAGGTGCTCAATAAATTTATTTGTGGAATAAATGAATGAGTCAATCGGTACCTCTTGTATATCCACTTTCAAATTGTTTTCTTTTTTTAATCTTTTTTTTGTTTTGTTTTGTTTTTTGTTTTTAAGATTTTATTTATTTATATGACAGAGAGAGATAGAATACAAGCAGGGGAAGCAGCAGAGGCAGAGGGAGAAGCAGGCTCCCTGCTGAGCAAGGAACTGGATGTGGGACTCGACCCCAAGACCCTTGGATCATGACCTGAGCCAAAGGCAGACACTTACCCAACTGAGCCACCCAGGCATCCTGTCAAATTGTTGTTTTCTTATAGGAGAAGATACCTGTTCTAGTCACCAGTATACCCACCGTATTGCCTAGCACATGGCAGAGTCCCAAAAAATGATTTCCTGAATTAAATTCATTATTTAAACTGGGTGTGATAACAATGGAGAGAGAATAGGGTGTGCCACTTTAAGAATAGTTACATTTGTATTCATAATGTTTGTAACCCAGACATTTCTGCTTTGTACACAATCCTTAAAAGAGAAAACTGTTAGTACAATGTATTCGCTTCTTTGCTGGAGCAAATGTTAGCCTCATACTGTTTGCAAACACTAAAATATTGGAGGAGCCCCATTTTATGTGGGAACCTGGTAGTAAAAGAAGTTTGCTGGCTTCAAAGTAGTGGCACCTGCAATCATAACCAAATGGAATGTAGGTCCTCAGTCCCTTGCTGAAAACCTTTAGGACGAGCTGGATTCAGGATTCATGTTTCCCCCCCAGGTCCCGGAAGGTAGAATGTGATCACTTATTGCATACACAGCAGGCTCTGGGGCAGGGCCCCATACTCAACCATGTTAATACTTCAGAGAAAAGTACAGTTGACTCTTGAACAACATGGGTTTCAACTACATGGGTCCACGTATATGTTGGATTTTTTTCGATAATTACAGTTCAGTACTGTAACTGTATTTTCCCTACCTTATGATTTTCTTTTTTTTTTTTTGCACTCTCTCTTTTTTTTTAAAGATTTTATTTATTTATTTGAGAGAGAGAGAATGAGAGAGCACATGAGAGGGGGGAGGGTCAGAGAGAGAAGCAGGCTCCCCGCTGAGCAGGGAGCCCGATGCGGGACTCGATCCAGGGACTCCAGGATCATGACCTGAGCCGAAGGCAGTCGCTTAACCAACTGAGCCACCCAGGCACCCTTACCTTATGATTTTCTTAACATTTTCTTTTCTCCAGTTTGATTTATTGTAAAAACATAGTATATAATACATATGACATACAAAATGTGTGTTAATCGACTATGTTATCAGTAAGGCTTCCGGTCAACAATAAGCTATTAGTAGTTAAATTTGGGGGGAGTCAAAAGTTATACGTGGGGGGCACCTGGGTGGCTCAGTTGGTTAAGTGACTGCCTTCGGCTCAGGTCATGATCCTGGAGTCCCGGGATCGAGTCCCACATCGGGCTCCCTGCTCAGCGGGGAGTCTGCTTCTCCCTCTGACCCTCCCCACTCTCATGCTCTCTCTATCTCATTCTCTCTCTCAAATAAATAAATAAAAAAAAAATCTTCAAAAAAAAAAGTTATATGTGGATTTTCCACTGTGCAGGAATTGGTATTTCTAACCCCCACGTTGGTCACAAGTCTACTATAGGACTAGTCACACTTGGTAGGATAAAGACCACAAATAGTCTACATCCATTCCATTTGAGTTATTCCACAGAAATGAGCTTCGATGCCAAAAGCATGGAAAAAATTGGTTTTCAGAACTTTCAAGTTGTTCTTCTGGCTTCGGGATATTGTTTGTTGTTGCTGGGTGGTAACACGGCTTGTGGCCAGAGGGCTGTTGGCCTCAGGAAAGGTCCTGTTCCTTCTCAGTTTCAACACGAGTGTTAGAACAAATGACACACGATTCTGATCGAATGACAGTTCGGTGTCCCATCCAATAAACCGATTGTCTAATAGTGAATGATTTCGTCTATAATAATTCAAGCAAAAAGATAGAGGAAGGAAAATGTCCTTTTCTATTCAATATCCCAGAACCATTACTAGAAAGAAGAATGTGGTCACCTCATTTGCTATGCAAAAACCAAGGTTTTGCTCTGATTGCCCCTAGAGTTTGAAATCCTTAAGGCAGAAGTTCTCAAAGGTCAGTGTTTAGACGCTATAGCAGGGGTCAGCAAACTTCTTCCCTACAGGGACAGATAGTAATATTTTGACTTTGCAGTTTACTTATCTCCTTTGTATGCGTGCATATTTTCAATACCTCCTCTGCCTCACCACCTCATTCCCCACCCAGAGAAGACTGCCTGACTTTGGAACCGTCAACATGTTTGGATAAAACTGTCAGAAGAATATCCTGTTGGCATTCGGCATTTGGATTTATAAAGTGTTTTGTAGGAGTTAGCCTTGATCATATAACCAGTTTTCTCACTCCAATAGACAGGCGGTAACCAAATCATTTCTGGCTCCTGGGAAACAGCTTCTCAATGAAAATGAAAAAGCCATTCCTTGGAAGAGATTTACCTCCAGCAGGAGGTGGCCTGAATGAAGATTGTGTTGCCATTTAAGGGCTGGCTGATATCATAATCTGCCTTGTGAGTTCTAGATTTTTTTTCCCTAAGATACTGTTTGGGTATCCCTTGTTGGATTCATATCATCTAACAAAATTCTGGTTTTTTGCTTATTATAAATTAACTGCCCGCCTGGTATATTATTATTATTATTATTATTATTATTATTATTATTATTATTATTATTATTAAAAGGTGCTTTTAACACCTAAGCACTTTACATCCATTCTTCTGGGTAATCCCTTATCACAACCCTTGGAATAAGTACTGTTAGGAAACCAAGACTTAGATCTAATGACTTGTCCATGGTCACCCAGGTAGTGTCAGGTTGAGTTTCTAGTCCAGGTCTTGCAGAGTTAGCCTCTGTACTTCTGAGTATTCTAGAGTATGACCTCATAAATATATATAATTTTTGCATGAGAAGAGGACAGTCATATTGGTTATGTCTTGATGTTTGTATAGATGACCCTACCATGAGAAATATTTAAAAAATTGTTTTTGCATATAGTATAGTGGATGCCATTCTTTTTGTCTGAAGGATGGAGACATGGACATTTTTTTTTTAGGGATATTGGCTCTTTTTTTTTTTTTTTAAAGATTTTATTTATTTATTTATGAGAGACAGAGAGAGAGAGAGAGAGAAGCAGGCTCCCAAGGAGCAGGGAGCCCGATGTGGGACTCGATCCCAGGACCCTGGGATCGTGACCTGAGCCGACGGCAGACGCTTAACCATCTGAGCCACCCAGGCGCCCGATATTGGCTCTTTTTAACATAACCTTCTGGCAGGTGGTTGTTGAGATTTTCAATGCGGTTTTTAAAAAATTAGTTTGAATTTTGTCATAAAGATGCTATTTCCAAGGGAGTGTTAAAACCCTTGTGACATTTTTCCATTTAAGTAATTAAGATGGTTTTAATAAGGTTTGAACCTTCCCTTACATGCATGAAAACAGTGAAGAAATAAAAAAATTGTTAATTTAGGACCTGTGCTGTGACTAAAGTCTTTTTTCAATTAACTTCTGATGAAAGTCTTTACATTTTTTGTTTCCTATGTTTTCTGTATCTAGAGAAGCGATATCAGTACTGATTATTTTAAGCTCATTGAAGTCTTTAGGAGTCTGTATTTTTCATTAGTGCATGGGCTGAAGACTGTTTTTCTCATTATATGAGTGAAGACTGACTGTACCTAGAAAAGCAACAAACATCCCTTTGGAGACTTTCTCCTAAGAGAGGAGGTAAGAAGCTGTATCATAAAGGTAATGCATTAATAAATACCCTGTTGGAGAAAGTGATGAAAGAGAAAGAAAGAACATCTATGCTCCTTTTGTCTTTTGTGTCAAATGCAGGGAATTCCAGGTATCAAAACCAACGGAAAGTATTTTCCGCCCAAGTCTCCTTCTGCAGAAGCAACTATTTTAAACTCTGCTTCTAATTTCTATTCTTGATATATCAATTCTGGGCAATATGTACTAACTACTTACTGTAAAGAATGGGAAGAATTCTCGTAGAAACTTCTATTTAAATTACTATCTTTTGCCTCCTGATATTTGTTGCCTCTAGTAATATATCCAGTTCTAGAGGCTGCCTTTAATGACTGGACGATATAGATGGTCCCTATTTTCTGACTGATTTTTAGATGTATCTGTTGACTCCTAGCTATGAAAGTTGAGGAAATTAGCATAGGTATCCACTGTTCTACTCTTTTCCTCCCAATTTTCCTTAATTATGTTTTTATTTTTATATTGCTATGGTTTATAATATTCATATTTAACACATGCTTCCTTATTTTCTAGCAGCTCTATCAGGTCCTGGCTGCTCTCAGGATAAAGTCCAAATTCTCTACCATAAATAAAATCCATAACCACATGGCCCGTCCTATCTCCCTAGCCTAAACTGCAGTTCAGGGTTCTCACTGGTTTTTTTTTTTTTTAAGATTTTATTTATTTATTTGACAGAGAGAGAGACAGCAAGAGAGGGAACACAAGCAGGGGGAGTGGGAGAGGGAGAAGCAGGCTTCCTGTCGAGCAGGGAGCCCGATGCAGGGCTTGATCCTAAGACTCTAGGATCAGGACCTGATCTGAATGAAGGCAGAAGTCCAATGACTGAGCCACCCAGGTGCCCCCCTCACTGTTTTTATTACACCGTGAACTTTTATCTTGCTGAGACCTTGCACATTGATTAACTCTAACTCTGGAAATCCAACTGCTTTCCTTTCTGGCAAATTCCTGCTCATGAATCCCATGTACTCTTTGACGGAAGCCTTCTGGATTCCCAGTTTTTTAGGTGGTCAACTCCATGGACTCCCGCCATCCTCTTCCTACCTCCATTATAGCATTTGCCTATTAACCTAGGATTTCAGGTTTGTGTATCTGTGTCCTGGCCTTGCAGGTAAACATTAGATTGGACATTTCATTTCTGTGTCCCTAGCATTCGGTGTCATGTAGCATATAACATAGAGTTATATTAGTTTCAGGTCTAAAATATCGTGATTCAACAATTCTATATGTTACTCAGTGCTCATAGTGATAAGTGTACTCTTAATCCTCTTCAATTATTTAATCCATCCCCCACCCCACCTCCCTGCTGGTAACCATCTCTTTGTTCTCTATAACTAGGAGTCTGTTTGGGGGGTTGTCTCTTTTTTTAATTTGTTCATTTGCTTTGTTTCTTAAGTTCCACATATGAGTCAAATCATATGGTATTTGTCTTTCTTTGACTTATTTCACTTAGCACACTTAGCATTATACCCTCTAGATCTATCTATGTTGCAAATGGCAAGATCTCATTCTTTTCTATGACTGAAAAATATTCCGTTATATATATATATATCTTCTTTATCCATTCATCTATCGATGGACACTTGGGCTGCTTCCATAATTTAGCTATTGTAAATAATACTGTAATAAACATAGGGGTGAATATATCCTTTCAAATTAGTGTTTTTGTATTCTTTGGGTAACTACCCAGTAGTGGAATTACTGGAACATATGGTAATTCTATGTTTAATTTTTTTGAGGAACCTCCATACTGTTTTCCACAGTGGCTGCACCAGTTTGCATTCCCACCAACAGTGCAGGAGGGTTTCTTTTTCTCCACATCCTTGCCAACACTTTTTGTTTCTAGTATTTTTGATTTTAACCTCTTATTCTGACAGGTGTGAGGTGATACCTCAGCTTGGTTTTGATTTGAATTTCCCTGATGATTAGTGATGTTGAGCATCTTTTCATGTGTCTGTTGGCCATCTGTATGTCTTCTTTGGAGAAATGTCTGTTCATGTCTTCTGCCCATTTTTAAATTGGATTATTTATTTTTTTGGTATAAGTGCTTTATGTATTTTGGATACTAACCCTTTACAGACATGCCATTTGCAAATATCCCCTCCCATTCAGTAGATTGTTTGTTTGTTTGTTTTGTTGGTTGTTTCCTTTGCTGTGCAGAAGCCTTTTATTTTGATGTAAACTATTGGGAAATAGTTTATTTTTTGCTTTTGTTTTCCTTGCCTCAGGAGACATATCCAGAAAAATCTTGCTATGGCTGATGTCAGAGAAATTACTGCCTGTGTTCTCTTCTAGGATTTTTATGGTTTCAGGTTTCATGTGTAGGTCCTTGATGCATTTTGAGTTTATTTTTGTGTGTGGTATAAGAAAGTGGTCCAGTTTCATTCTTTTCCATGTAGCTCTCCAGTTTTCCCAACATCATTTGTTGAAGAGATTATCTTTTTCTCAGTATATATTTATTCCTCCTTTGTTGAAGATTAATTGACTGTATAATCATGGTTTATTTCTGGGCTCTGTTCTGTTCTATTGATCTACAGGTCTATCACTGTGCCAGTACCATACTGTTTTGATTACTACAGTTTTATAGTATATCTTGAAATCTGGGATGGTGATGCCTCTAGTTTTGTTCTTCTTTCTCAAGATTGCTCTGGGTATTCGGGGTCTTTGTGGTTCCATACAAATTTTAGGATTATTTGTTCTAGTTCTGTGAAGAATACTGTTGGTATTTTGATAGGGATCATATTAAATCTGTAGATTGCTCTGAGTGGTATGGACAATATAACTATATTCTTCCAATCCATGAGCATGATGTCTTTCCATTTCTTTTTTTTTTTTTTTTTTTTTTTTTAAAGATTTTATTTATTTATTCATGAGAGACAGAGAGAGAGAGAGGCAGAGGGAGAAGCAGGCTCCCAAGGAGCAGGGAGCCCGATGTGGGACTCGATCCCAGGACCCTGGGATCATGACCTGAGCCGAAGGCAGACGCTTAACGACTGAGCCACCCAGGCGCCCGTCTTTCCATTTCTTTACAGGTCTTTCACCTCCTTGGTTAAGTTTATTCCTAGGTATTTTATTATTTTTGGTGCAACTGTAAATGGGATTATTTTCTTAATTTCTATTTCTGCTACTCCATTATTAGTTTATAGAAATGCAATGGATTTCTGTATATTGATTTTGTAACCTGCGACCTTACTGAATTCCTTTATCAGTTCTAGTAGTGTTTTGGTGTAGTCTTTAGGGTTTTCTATATATAGTATGTCATCTGCAAATAGTGAAAGTTTTGCCTCTTCTTTACCAATCTGGATGCCTTTTATTTCTTTTTCTTGTCTGATTGCTGTGGCTAGGACTTCCAGTATTATGTTGAATAAAAGTGTTGAGAGTGGACATCCTCATCTTCTTTTTTTTTTTTTTTTTTAAGATTTATCCATTCACTTGTCAGAGAGAGAGAGCGCACAAGCAGGGGGAACAGCAGGCAGAGGGAGAAGCAGGCTCCCCACCGAGCAAGGAGCCTGACATGAGACTCAATCCCAGGACCCTGGGATCATGACCCAAGCCGAAGGCAAACGCTTAACCGACTGAGCCACCCAGGCGTCCCTTCATTCTCATCTTCTTCTTGACCTTAAAGGAAAAGCTCTCAGTTTTTCACCATCGAGTATGACGTAGCTATGGGTTTTTCATATATTATGTTGAGGTATGTTCCTTCTAAACCTATTTGTTGAAGGTTTTTTTATCATGAATGGATGTTGTACTTTGTCAAATGCTTTTTCTGCATCTTGAACAGATAGTTGTTATCAAGTACTCTAAATGAAAATAATTTGTCTTTTATTTTTGCTTTTTTTTTTGGTTTACTAAGTCCATCTTTTTAAAAGTTACTAAGTATACATTTGAGAAGAAAACCAATTCCCAGAAGTAGTATTTATTTAAAGCGATTCCTTAGAAAGTTCTGTAACTGCATGATCTACTTTGAGTAAACACTGCATGAAGCCCCAAGTTCAGTTGAACTGGCACAATTTCAGTTCTCTGTTGACTAAAATCAACCCACATGTTGCTCCTCAATACACTTATTAGATTTGTTATGCTCTTAACTCCTACTGATGTGAAACTGATTCAAGCCATAGGAGGAAAGCTGCTAATGAATTGAGTACCCAGATATAATTCTGTGTGTTCTAAGATAATATAATTAAGAAAAAAAGGTATTACACGAACCACCTTATAAAAGGAAGAATAAGTGAAGTGGTGAGGACCTGGAGTCTCTCTGCCTGAATTAGAATCCTGGCTCTCTATCGCTTTCTACATGCACAGCCTTGAGAAAGTTACACTTCTTTTGAGCTCCTTTCTTATCTGCCAAAAGGGGAATACCAATGTAACAATACATAGAATGAGCTTAAACAGTGCCCAGCATTTCATAAACACCCAGCAACTACTAGCAATTATTATTTTCATTATAAAGGATACATAAAAGAAAAAGCAAATGGTTATTTCCCTCTGATAATCACTATTAGCTGGTTAGAGTATATCCTCCCAGAACATTAAATATGTAGTTTTTAAAAAGATTTTATTTATTTATTTGACAGAGGGAGAGAGAGAGAGAGAGCACAAGCAGGGGGAATGGCAGAGGGAGAGAAGCAGACTCTCTGCTGAGCAGGGAACCTAATTGCGGGGCTGAGATCATGACCTGAGCCGAAGGCAGATGCTTAACTGACTGAGCTATTCAGGTGCCCTTAAATATGTAGTTTTTTTTTTTTTTTAAGATTTTATTTATTTGCGAGAGAGAGAATGAGAGACAGAGAACATGAGAGAGAGGAGAGTCAGAGGGAGAAGCAGACTCCCCGCCGAGCAGGGAGCCTGATGCGGGACTCAATCCTGGGACTCCAGGATCAGACCTGAGCCGAAGGCAGTTGCTTAACCAACTGAGCCACCCAGGCGCCCAAATATGTAGTTTTTTAAAAAAAGATTTATTTATTTATTTTAGAGAGAGACAGAGACAGAGACAGAGAACATGAGTGGGGGGAGGGGCAGAGGGAGAGGGAGAGAGAGAGCATCTCCAGCAGACTACCCGCTGAGTGCAGAGCCAGATGTGGGGCTCAATCTCACAACCCTGAGATCATGACCTGAGTCAAAATCAAGAGTTGGACACTTAACCGAATGAGCCACCCAGGCGCCCCTAAATATGTAGTTTTAACCAAAAAAAGCAGTATTGCGACAGGAATGTTAATGCTATGTTAGCAATGACTCGGTTCAACAAAACCTAAGTGTACAGTTTACAAATAGTTTTTCTAAGGAAATTTGCTTCAAAACCTGGTTTCTGTATTACTTCATGGTTTCTCGGTATTAAGAAAGATACTGGAAGAAAATACAAGATGATATAGTTACTGAAGAATTCATGATCAAATATATTCAGAATTCACACACTGTCAGTATGAATTCAATATTCATGACAATCATTCTGGGTGAACAACCAAACTATGGGGCTGGGTTTCTCTTTAACTCCATATATATATATATATATTGTATTTTAGAGATTGCCCTTCTATGTATTCTATTTCTGGTCATTGAGAGGAAAGCTGTTGCTTAGCAACCAGTGGTTTCTGTTTGGCTGATGTGTAAAATGGAAAGCCGTGCAAATAAGAGGCAAATAATTCTGTCCATTAGGAGTGCTGACTTACTAGTTTTAACAATTAAGTTGGCTCCCAACTTAGTTTATGGTTCCTTGTGTGGAAAATATAAAATATGAGATGGAAGTTGTATCATGATATTTACTAATTATTTTTAAAGAACACAGATTGATTCACAAGATGTAAATTAATGTATAAAAAAGGAATAATTCAAGGATAGTAAAATTACCTAAGTTTTGAAGTATATGTTTAATGTTTCAAACAGAAAATATTTACATCTTAAAACAAAAAGGAAGAAAACTAAAATATATACACTGACTTCTCAAATTGCAGCCAACAAAAAAATATGTTTATACTCTTAAAAAACTTTCAGCATGATTTTATATTATTTTCTCTTTTTCTTTCTAAATATTTTATTTATTTATTTGGGAGAGAGAGAGAGAGAGCCAGAGAGAGAGCATGAGCAGAGGGGAGGGGCAGAGGGAGAAGCAGACTCCCCACTGAGCAAGGAGCCCAATGTGGGGCTTGATCCCAGGACCTGGGGATCATGACCTGAACTGAAGGCAGATGCTTAACCAACTGAGCCACCTAGGTGTCCCTCCTTCATTTATTTAGGTTTTTAGCATAGATTATGCACTAGGAAAAGAGAGGTCATGTCATATGGTGATAAGACATTAAATGGTGGTGAGAGTCCCTTGTCTGCTGCTAACAAACACTGACTCTAAAGCTAAAGAATATTTATTGGAATGAAAGGATTTGGTGGTGTTGATGGTGAACTCAGGATTGATAGGATATTGGGGAATAAGGCTTGGAAATGTCCTTAATTTTAGCTACTTCAGAATACTTCTTGTGGTGATTGCTGTTTCCTTCTGTCTTAATGTTTTATTGATTGATTGATTGATTTTTAAAGATTTTATTTATTTATTTGACAGAGAGAGAGCACAAGTAGGCAGAGTGGCAGGCAGATGGAGAGGGAGAAGCAGGCTCTCTGCTGGGCAGGGAGCCGGATGTGGGGCTCGATCCCAAGACCCCAGGATCATGACCTGAGCCAAAGGCAGCCGCTTAACAGACTGAGCCACCCAGGCACCCCTGTCTTAATGTTTTAAAAGCCCAGGTGAGAGCACCTGCTGGCTAATTCCTCATATGCCTGCTCTTTGGCTGGGCTGAGTGGGGGACCAGGAAGGATCTGGTGTTTTCAACTTCCATGGAAGTATGCAACTGGATTTATAGGACTGAATACTACTCAGGAGACTTCTCTTCCCCAAAAGTAAATCTGGGTGCTATTAGAAATGAATGTTGGAGATATATATATGGCTATAAACATATACATATTTATGGGTACATATATATATATATATATACACACAGAGAGAGAGAGAGAGAGGAAAAATGTTGTGTAAGACTCACAGTAAGTCTCTAGGGTCTACAGATCAACTCATCTATGACCTAATCGCTTCTGTCTTTTGATGTTACTCACCTCTTAAGTATATAAAAATCATCAACTTCATATATTTACTAGGTACTATAAAATTATCATTGAGTTAGTGGTATCTAGGTCATTTTAGAGAGGTAATACGTAAATACAGTTAGAATTTATAAAACAGTAATGTTTGCATATTTTTGTATGCAATTTAAGTCATTAATTTTTATGATTTGAAGTCTTATTTATCTTTATACTATCACTGAATATCAAGGACATTGAAGAAATCTGTAGAATCACAGAAATTAAAACAAGAATTAATTAAATCAAGAATAAAATTAAACCAAGGTTATTGAATGCAACTTTTTATACGATGTGGAAGTAAACTAAGAGGCAATATGCCAAATAATTCCTTTACATAACTGGATTTTTGATTCAAAGAAAAAGCTCATTAGATGGTGAAAGAGTTTGCACATATTTCTCTGGTAAAATATTTTGGCTTTGACTTACTTGACTATTAACAAAATTCCTGTCCCTTAACCTAAAAAACCCTCTATTACAATTTGATCTGTCAGTTGGATTATTTTGGTAGTGGCCAGTGAAAATAGTTAAGCTCCCCAAATCTTCCGTATGTGTTAGGATACCAGGTCAGCTCCTAAAACAAAGGTCCAAATAATGGTCTCAAACAAAATAGAACTTTGTTTCTTTCCCACAAAATAATCAAGCTTAGGTAGACTAGGTCTGATTTGGCAGTTTCATGGTACAAGGAACTAGGCTTTTTCTGTTTAATTGCTCTATCATCTTCAACATAAAGTTGCCATCTGTGGTCTAATACGGCTGCCCTCGCAACTGCCATATCTGCATTCCAACAAGTGGAAAGTGGAGAAGGGCAGGGGGAGGGCACATAACCCTTTAGCTTACATACCATTGGCCAGAACCTAGTCACATGGCCACACCTACAGCGCTGAGAAACAGAGCTCTTAGTTGGTGGGTAAGTTCTATTGTTATAGAGCTTACTATAGGGTAGAGTGGAGGTTTTCTGGCATATCATCTCATCACGAACTTATTGCTATCTTATTGTGCTAAAATAGAAAATGTCTACTTATTTAAAAAATAACAGTAGCAACCCAAATGTCTACTCAAAGAAACAAGCCCTGGAGGAAATTAAGTAATGTTATAAAATGATGAGTAAAATTCCTACGGAGTGTGTTATCTACACATAAACTGTTGTCTTTCAAACTATTAGGATAATATATATTGTACCAAAGAATTAATTAACCTACTGGCACCCCAGACGGAGTTCTAATATCCTTAGAGAGCAAGTGATTAAGGGCATCTTAGGTATGGTTCTGCTACTTTCAGACTCCTCATATCATTGGCATGTTCCAGAAATTCTATATAAATGTTCCAAATGGTCCTCAGAAAAAGACATGGTCTTATATCAAAACCCTTAAAAATATATATTCCCTGTGATCCAGAAATTCTACTTTTAGGAGTTTATCCTAAGGAGAACACTGAGGATGCAGAAAAAGATTCATCTATAAGGATATTTATTGCAAAACTTTTTGTTGTAAAAAAAAAAAAATCAGAATAACCTAAATGTCCCCAAAAAGGAAAGTGTGTACACAAGTTGTTATGTCCATACAATAGAATAGCA